AGAATTAAAGTTTGGATGTTTATTGGAGACTAGAGTGAAGGAGAGTAAAGAGAAACGAATTGTTGCCTCTGTTTTTGATGGGTGGTCTTGTATCAGCAATTATGAGTATAATAGAAAGGGAAGGATTTGGGTTGTGTGGTGTCCTCATGTGAGATTAACGCCGGTTTATAAAACTAGTCAGATTATTACTGTTTCTGTGCTTTTAGAGGGTGAGACTGAGGAATTCTTTTGCTCCTTTGTTTATGGAGGTAATACTTCGGATGAAAGGAGTGAGCTATGGGCTGATATGAAGGCTCATCAGGATTCTGCGATGTTCAAAAAGAAACAGTGGCTAATTATGGGAGATTTTAATGAGATTATTGATGGTGAGGAGCATTCAAATTACCAAGATTCGGGTCTTGTTAATGGTGGTATGAGAGACTTTGAAAGTGTTATTCGGCATTGTAGATTGGTTGACATGGGTTGTCAAGGTCCCAAGTTTACTTGGTGTAACAAGCGTACGGAGGGTCTTATATGCAAAAAGCTGGACAGATTTCTTGTGAATGATACTTGGTTACTTAAGCGTGATAAAGCTTATGGTGTTTTTGAAGCTGGTGGATGTTCTGACCATCTGAGAGGTAGATTTCATTTGCATGCTGAAGCTGTGGGTAAAAAGAGACCTTTTAAGTTCACAAATGCTGTTGCTGAGATGCCGGAATTTCTTAAGCTTTTGGAAGGATATTGGAAAGATCAGCAGCCTTTGTTTCAGTCCACTTCTGCTTTGTTTCGGTTTTCAAAAGCTCTCAAAGCTTTAAAACCTTTGTTGAGGAAGCTTAGCAAAGACAAATTAGGGAATCTTTCTATGAAAGTCAAAGAAGCTTATAATGATCTTTGTTTGCAGCAAGAGTCTCTGATGGCTAACCCTAATGTGTTGAATATCCAGGAAGAGCTTAGAATTGAAGAGAGATGGCAAAGAGTCTCTGCAATTGAAGAGAAGGTTCTTAAACAGAGATCCAAAATGCACTGGCTACAATCGGGGGATGGAAATAATAAAGCTTTTCATAATGCGGTGAAGGTAAGAGAAGCTATTAACTCCATCCGTGAGATAAAATGTCGTTCTGGAGAAGTGGTTACTACTCAGGATGGTATTAAAGCTGAAGCTGAGAATTTTTTCAATAATTTTCTTTCCCATGTGGCGCCGGAAATCCAGGATATATCTGTTGAAGATCTTCAACGCTTTATTCCTTTTCGCTGCTCTGATGAAGAAAAGGGTCTTTTGATCAAGCCAATATCTGATGAAGAGATCAAAGAGGTGTTATTCAAGATGCCTAACAACAAGTCTCCGGGGCCGGACGGGTTCACTACTGAATTTTTCAAAGCTTCTTGGAACTTCATTGGTAAGGACTTTATTACTGCAGTGAAATCGTTCTTCAGCAAGGGTTTCCTTTCGAAAGGTTTGAATACTACCATCTTAGCTCTTGTTCCTAAGAAGGATAATGCTATTGAGATGAAAGACTACAGACCAATTTCTTGCTGCAATGTTTTGTATAAAGTTATTTCGAAGATTATTGCGAATAGGCTGAAGACTACCCTCCCTCGGTGTATCTCTTATAACCAATCTGCTTTTGTTAAAGATAGGCTTCTGGTTGAGAATCTTTTGCTGGCCACTGAGATCATTAAGGATTACCATAGAGATGATGTCTCCCCTCGTTGTGCCATGAAGATTGACATAGCTAAGGCTTTTGACTCTGTACACTGGCCTTTCTTATTGAACACTCTGCGAGCTCTTGGTATTCCTGAGGAGTTTGTCTATTGGATAAGACTCTGTGTGTGTACTCCCTCTTTTTCGGTGCAAGTGAATGGTGAATTGGCAGGTTTCTTTCAAAGTAAGCGAGGTCTGCGACAAGGCTGTGCTTTATCACCCTATTTGTTTGTGATTTGTATGAATGTCCTCTCCCATCTTTTGGACAAAGCAGCGGCTCAGGGGGTTATTGGTTATCATCCTAAATGTCAGAACATTCTTTTGACTCACCTTTGCTTTGCAGATGACCTTCTGGTTTTCTCTGACGGTTCTAAAAGATCCATTGAGAATGTTCTTAGGATTTTTGATGACTTTGCTACTATGTCTGGTTTGAAGATAAGTTTAGAGAAGTCTACTCTCTACACTGCGGGGTTATCAGGTAATCAAGAAGGTGAAATTCTCAATAAGTTTCCCTTTGCTTCTGGGAAACTTCCTGTTCGTTATCTTGGGCTTCCTTTACTCTCTAGAAGGATGACTGTTGGAGACTATATGCCTTTGGTGGAAAAAATCAGGAAGCGTATGAGTTCTTGGACTGGGAGATTACTTTCCTATGGGGGTCGTTTGCAATTAATTAATTCTGTGATCAATAGTATGGCCAATTTCTGGTTATCTGCTTTTAGGCTCCCGGGTAGCTGTTTAAAGGAAGTAGAGAGACTCTGCTCTGCTTTCTTGTGGTCTGGCCCTGATTTGAAAACAAGTAAAGCTAAAGTCAGTTGGAAGGATATTTGTCTCCCTAAGAGTGAAGGTGGTTTGGGTCTTCGTCCTTTAAAAGAGATTAACACGGTTCTTTGCTTGAAATTGATCTGGAGAGTGTTTACGGCTAGATCTTCTCTTTGGGTTAAGTGGGTTCATTGCTATCTCATTAGGAAAAATTCTTTCTGGTCTATGAAGGATAATGCTAACTCTGGGTCCTGGATGTGGAGGAAGCTTCTTAAGCTTCGAGGGCTTGCTAAAGGTTATCTAAGGATGGAAGTTCATAATGGCAGAAATACTTCCTTTTGGTTTGATAATTGGTCTCCTTTGGGCTGTCTTAAAGATATTTTTGGAGATAGAGGATCTATTGGTCTCGGTATCTCTGAGAATGCTACGGTTGAGGAGGTTATTCTTAGTCATCGTATACGTAGGCATCGGAGGAGTATGTTTAATGATGTGGATGTAGTTATTAGTGATTTGAGAAGCAGATATAGCGCTGAGGATGATATTCCATTATGGAGGCAAGATGATACTCGATTCACCAATATTTTCTCTACTAAAAAGACTTGGATTTTCATGAGACATTCTCAGCCTGATTGTGATTGGTTTAAGGGTGTTTGGTTTCATCAATCTACGCCTAAATTTGCTTTTATGACCTGGATTGCCATTCGGAATAGGCTGCATACTTGTGATAGAATCTTGCAATGGAATCCATCCATTGATGGTCTGTGTGTTTTATGTCAGGATGATCACGAGACTTGCCCTCATCTTTTCTTCCATTGCAGATATTCTGCGGCAATTTGGAAAGAGCTTGTTGGTGGTATTATGAAGTTGGATTTCACAACTGATTGGAGTTCTATTCTGGCTATTATCTCTAATTCGCATTCGAGATACAATGCTACTGAGTTGTTCCTTCTTCGGTATGCTTTCCAAGCTTCTCTTCATAGCATCTGGCGTGAAAGGAATTATCGTAAACATGGAGAGCAGCCTAGGAATGAGAAAGTTCTGGCTCATTATGTTGACAAGCTGATTAGGTTGAAGTTACTTGCTGTTAAAGGTAAGGGGAAAAATTATCTTGAGGAAAGCCTTTGTTCCTGGTTCGGTTCAAGGCTCTTGGGTGTTGGATAATTTTTTAGTTTTGGTTCTCCTTGACTTCTGGTCTTCTTTGGTTACTGAGCTCCCAGTGTTGGTTTTGGTTTTCAGCGGGATTCTGTTTGTTCTCGTCCATGCAGTTGAGTCAACCTGGGTTTTGGTGTTTTGTGCTGGATTTTGCTCAAAGTTGAGTTTGTAGCGAGTTTGTCTGTCTTCGGGTCTTCTTCTTTCTTGACTGTTATGGTGCTTGGTTGGGATTTGCTTGCTGGATCGTCTCTCTGGTAGCTTGTCTCTGGTTCTCTCTTCTGTTGGGTTTGTTGGTTTGTGCTCTGGTGTAGTGTTGGGTTTGCTGTTGGTTTGTTTTCTTTGTTCAAGTTGTTTGAGTCTGGTTTTTTGCGGGTCCTTAGTTATTCTCCTGGCTATGGGATCTCTACTCTTTCCTCATTAGAGTTTTGTCCCATTCGGGTTTTCTCTGATGAGGTTTTAATGAGGGAAATCCTATAGCCCTTCCAAGCTAACTTGTTTCACATGGTTAGTTTGAGGGAGAATGGCTTGTTTGTTTTTTGGGTTTTTTCTGATTTTTATTGGCTTGTGAGGTTTGTTTTACAAACAATGTTTGCACTTGTTGTAATTATGTTTTTGATTGAATAAAATTTTACATTCATTCAAAAAAAAAAAATACTTATGCTCAAAAACAACATACTTATACTTAGCAATAAGAACTGGAGTTGATCAGAGTTTCAAAGACAAATGTGAATGCGTATGGAACCAAGATAAAAAAAATCATCATTTTTTTCCATTACATGCAATTGCCACATGTTAATGTCATTTCTCAAATCTGTAAATAAGTACACCGAACTTGCCACATTTCACTAAAGGTTAGTCATGCAAATCTAATACTATAATCGCAAAATGTTGGTTCTCATAGTTACTAGTTACTACGAAACAATATTTCTCAATTTCAGTAGTCACACTAGAAGACACGGCACGATTGAAAGTTGAAACAATGAATGTAAAAATGTTATCCTGAAAAATTTAAACAAGAACAAATAGAAGACATAAAGATACATCAAATCATCACAAAACATTAACTTCATCGTCCATCTAATACACAAATCAAAGTTTCTTCTAAAAATCAAAACTGGGCTTTCTTCCGAAATACGTGGCCCAGTATGACCCATTCCCCATTTTGGCCCAATTTTAAAAAATTGAAATTACTATTCATTTTACTCAGAAATTTCGTAACGAACATCTCAGTTTATCCGCGATCTCCTAAAACTTCTATTTTGATAGTTTCTTTGCATTGACCCGAACAAGGCTACGAGTAACTTTGCCTATTGACCATTTTACCCCTACAATTTCACATAATTTACTATTCTAGGTTACTAATACCAAAAACTTATGTTACCCTAATCCAATTTCTTTTTTTTTTTGCTCTCCTCTCCTCGACATCGCTTCTCTCGCCGTCCCAAAAAAAAAACCCTAATTTTATCACCTTTCGTTTCACTCGATCACACAGAGAAGGTTGAGCAAATAGAGTTCGTTATAGATGTCCTACAATCAACCAAGACCGGACAGAAGCGATAATCAACAACAGTACCGGAGAACTGGGAGATCCACCGCCGGCTACCACCAGCAGCAACAACCTCACCGATCTTCCCCCGCCGGTTACGGTAGGGGAGCTGTCACCGCTAACGTTGATCCTTCCTCTAATCGCAGGTAACTCTCACCAGATCAATTTCTATTAATTTCGAAAATCGAATTTAAAAGTTTCATCCTTTTTTGTTTTAATTGCAGTTTTAAGAAGCCTAGCAATTCTCAAGGAGGAGGGAATCAGGCTAGGGTGAATCATTCAGTTCCTAACAATCATAATGGTCCTAGTGTACAGTCACGCTCTTCTCAAGGTATGTTCTTTGTTGTGTGCCCCTTTTGGTTAGTGTGTGATCGTTTTGGTTAAGCTCACGTTTTATTTTTACACGGTTGGTTACAGGAGAACCGGTTACTGGTGGACCGGCTAATCCAGTCAGTGGAGCTATTCCAAAAGCTCCAACTTCGCAGTCTCCTGCTATGAACACACCTAAAGGTTGGAGGACTGTTTTTTTTTGGTTGTGTTTGTGTGTAGAGTGTGACTAGATTCTCATGTACTATGAATTGTTTATAATGTTTTTCAGTCCCTGGAGACCCTTCTAAAGGATTTCCTTTTCAATTTGGGTCACTTGGTCCTGACTTGATGAAGGTATGTTGTTACTCCCTTTTTTTGTTTGTCCATCCACACCTAAATCATCTGTACTGTTGGGATTCTAGATTCCTGCGCGGACCAGCTCAGCTCCTCCGAATATGGATGAGCAGAAACGTGCACAGGTCCTCCACACTTTGTATTTTTTGCTTACTTACTTGAATGATTCTTGTTTATGTGTTTATGATGATGAATTAGTCTGTGTTTCCAGCTGACTCAAATTATATGATGATGAAGAGCCTGATGCCCTGTTTTTTTTACTTCAGTTAAGTTAGTGACTTTGTCTTTTGTTTATGACTAAAGTACACATTGTTTTGCAGATGCAGCAGGCTGCTGTAAGAACGGCCGCCCCGAATTTACCAGCTTCGGTACCTAAAAAGGATTTACCAAACAAGGCTGCAGATAATCAACTGATGAGGAAAGAAGGGCACAATCCATCAAGTGAAAAAGCTGATGTCCAAGTCCACCATACACCACCTCCAAGTCAAACGCACAAGTCTCCAGTTACAAATATCCGTATGCCTTCGTTGCAGACACCTTATCAGCATCCTCAGGTTCCTCACCCTGTGCATTTCGGTGGCCCCCCAAATATGCATATGCAGCCTCCTAATGTGGCTCCAGCCTCGTTTCAGATGCCAATGCCAATGGCATTATCTATGGGAAATACACCTCAAATGCAGCAGCAGGTGTTTTTTCAAGGCCTCCCATCACATCCCATGCATCATCAGGGTATGATGCATCAGGCTCAGGGACATGGGTTTCCAGCTCCGATGGGTGCTCAGATTCATCCTCAGTTGGGCCACGTGGGTGTGGGTGTGAGCCCGCAGTATCCCCAGCAGCAAGGAGGTAAATTTGGCGGGACAACACGTAAGACCACACCCGTCAAGATTACACATCCCGATACACATGAAGAGTTGAGGCTTGGTCGACGCAATGACACGCAACCAGATGGTGGACCTGTGGCTTCAAAACAGCATTCTAATACACCGCCTCCCAGATCACAGCCAGTTTCATCATTTTCTCCACGACCAATGAGTGTTGTGCAAACCTCATATAACGCCAGTCCCATGATATATCCTGGGGTTTCTATACCCATAAACAGTGGTCTAGTGCCATCCGCTGAAGCACCAAGGTTCAATTTCCAAGTTATGGATGACTCTCAAAAGGTACAATTTATCAACCAATCTGCTCATACGGCTCCACAGCTTATGAGACCTGTAGCTCCCACACATGTTCCATCTGATTCTTCTTCAACTTTTAAAACACGTGATGTCCAAAATGTGACTTCATCTGCTGTACATGCAACTGGGAAGGTAACAGTGAAGCAAGCTGCTACATCTGAAAAACTTGAATCACCTAAAGCCAGGCCACAAGGAGGTGTGAACATTGCTCTGTCACAAAAGGACGTGGAGGCAGTTTCATTGAGCTCTTCACAGCCGCCTAAATCTGACTCTGTGTCAGGGGTATCAAATTCGTCTGCTCCGCCATCAAAGTCATCTGTGGAGGCTGCTCCAGTTGCAACAACTGAAATCGGAAGAGGGCAAACGGTGAATGAGTCGAGCTCAGTTGAAGATCAGAAACAGACGTGTAAGGTGGAACCCTCTCATAATGCGACTGAGGTATGGTACTGTGTTTTGTTTTTACTTTTTTAGGCATTCTTTAATTTTGTAACCTGGTGATATTTGTTTTTTTTTTGGTTCTGCGTCATCTAGGATCATGCACAGACTAGGCCGGAATCTCTGGTTTCTGATCTTGGTTCTCCTTCCAGCTCTTCGGCTCCTGAAACAGAAGCCATTGCTGTTAAGGACAATTCATCATTTCCAGCTACCAATTCATCAAATATTTCTGATTCTTCCCCGCAAGAGGAAGACCCAAAATGTGATGAGCGGAGTGTTACTGACAAGCAGGTGGAAAAGTCTGTAATTTCTGATGAGAAACACGAAACTGGGAAGGCAAAAAACGAGGTGGATGGTGCTACATACATTTGTTCTGACTCCGAAAAAGTTGCAGATGTTTCGAGCTCCGATCTTCCACAATCTTCTCATACTCAGTCGTCTACTGTTTCTCTTGGGCATTCTGAAAATTCTGGTGATAGTTTGGCATCTGCCCAAACCACTCTTTCCAAGGACAAACCTGCATTTGAATCGAACTTAAGAAGAAATACTTCTGTCAAAGGAAAGAAGAAGATAAAAGAAATTCTTCAGAAAGCAGATGCTCAGGGAACAACTTCTGATCTTTATAATGCTTACAAAGGGCCTGAAGAACAGAAAAATTTAGCAATGCCTTCGGAGAGTTCAAATGTTAGTAATGATGTTTCAAACCAGAAGCAGGCACCTGCGACGCCTCAGGCTGTCTCTGAAGCTACTGTTGATGCTGAACCAGCGAAAAATGAACCGGAAAACTGGGAAGATGCAGCCGATGTTTCTACACCAAAGCTGGAAAGTGTGCACACAAAGCCAGGTTCCTCAGATGAGGTCAGAGACAGCGGCAGCAATATGGAAAAGAAATACTCCCGCGATTTCCTCCTTAAGTTTGCAGACCAGTTCACTGCTCTCCCTCCAGGCTTTGACGTTTCTCCTGATTTTGCGAATACCTTGTTTTCTAATAATATGGGTGCGTCTCATCATGAACATGACTCGTATCCCAACTCTGGAAAGGTTATGGATCGTCAAAGGAGTAGTGGCCGCTCAGATCGCCGTCCCAGCAATCAGAGTCCTCTTCCTGCAGGATATGGAGGTAACGTAGGTTTCCAACCTGGTCCAGGAGGAAACTCAGGAGTTCTAAGAAATCCTCGTATGCAGGGACCGATTATGTCTAGACCGATGCAACATGTGGGTCCTATGGGAGGAATGGGTAGAAATGGTCCCGACTTAGATAGATGGCAACGTGGTTCTAATTTCCAACAAAAGGGACTATTTTCTTCTCCGCATACTCCTATGCAGGTGATGCACAAAGCCGAGAGAAAATACCAAGTAGGCACAGTTACAGATGAAGAACAAGCAAAGCAAAGGCAATTAAAAGGCATCTTGAACAAGTTGACCCCACAAAACTTCGAGAAACTGTTTGAGCAAGTTAAAAGTGTCAACATTGACAACGCTGTTACGCTTATTGGTGTCATTTCACAGATATTTGACAAAGCCTTGATGGAGCCTACCTTCTGTGAGATGTATGCAGATTTCTGTTTTCATCTGTCTGGGGCTTTACCTGATTTCAATGAGAATGGTGAAAAGATTACCTTCAAAAGATTGCTTCTCAATAAATGTCAGGAAGAATTTGAGAGAGGAGAGAGGGAAGAAGAGGAAGCCAGTAGAGTTGCTGAAGAAGGACAAGTAGAACAAACTGAGCAGGAAAGGGAAGAGAAGAGACTCAAGGTTCGGAGGAGAATGCTCGGTAATATTAGACTTATTGGTGAGTTATACAAGAAGAAGATGTTGACTGAGAAAATCATGCACGCATGCATCCAAAAGTTGCTCGGGTTTGATCAGGAGGATCCACATGAAGAGAACATAGAAGCTCTGTGTAAACTAATGAGTACAATAGGAGTTATGATCGATCATCAAAAAGCTAAGGACCATATGGATGCATATTTTGACAGAATGAAAATGCTATCAAGCAAACAAGAATTTTCTTCTAGAGTCAGGTTTATGTTAATCAATGCTATGGATCTAAGAAAGAACAGATGGCAGGAGAGAATGAAAGTTGAAGGGCCAAAGAAAATTGAGGAAGTGCACAGAGATGCTGCACAAGAACGCAACACTCAAGCTAACAGGCTTTCACGTGGACCCTCGATGAATTCATCAGCAAGAAGAGGGCATATGGAGTATAGCCCCAGGGGAGGAGGAGGTATGCTCTCAGCTCCAACTGCCCAAATGGGTGGTTTTCATGGACCACCTCAAGGTCGTGGCTTTGGAAACCAGGACATTAGATTTGATGAAAGGTCACCGTATGAGCCTAGGATGGTTCCAATGTCTCAAAGGTCGGGTGGTGAAGAGCCTATTACCTTGGGGCCCCAAGGTGGTCTTGGTCAGGGAATGTCTTTTAGAAGGCCGGCAGCAGTATCAAATACTTCGCAGTCTGGTGGTTCGAATGGTTTTGGCTCACAAAGACCTGCAAGTCCTGCTACTCACGGACGGTCAAGTCCCCAAGGGCGAGGATCAACTTATGTTCACAGGGAATTTGCAAGTGCCTCTCGTGCTTCTGATCCGTCATCTGAAGTTTCATCTGCTAGGCAATTACCAGAAGGGCCTTCTTCTGCAGTAAACAGCCCGCGAGAAAATGCTTTGTCCGATGAACGTTTACATGATATGTCCTTGTCTGCCATTAAGGAATATTACAGGTACTCCTTTCTGTCTGGTCATTCATTTTGTTCACCCGCATAGTCATTAGAGTATGTCCCTTTTTGACGGATTATAGTGTTTATGTTGTTTATAATCGTTTTGCCTAATGTGGTCACGTGTGAATAGAAAAGCACATTAGTTAGTTTTTGATTACTGTGTTCTTATGCAGTGCCCGAGATGAGAAGGAGATTGGTTTATGCATGAAAGACATAAATTCACCATCTTTTCACCCAACAATGATTTCTCTTTGGGTAACTGATTCTTTTGAGAGGAAAGACAAAGAAAGAGATCTCTTAGCAAAGCTCCTTGTTAACCTCGTGAAGTCTGCTGACAATGCCTTAACCGAAGTCCAACTAGTGAAAGGGTAAGTAAAAGAAACCAAAGAGATCTCTACTCCTCACGCTTTGATGATCAAATGTTTTTTTCTGGTTGCCTTTTTGACAGGTTTGAATCTGTTTTGACAACTCTGGAGGATGCTGTAAATGATGCTCCAAAAGCAGCAGAGTTTCTTGGGAGAATCTTTGGTAAAAGTGTGATGGAGAAAGTAGTGACATTGACAGAGATTGGTCGGTTAATACGTGAAGGAGGAGAAGAACCTGGAAGTCTGTTAGAGTTTGGATTAGGAGGTGATGTTCTTGGCAGTGTTTTGGAGATGATAAGGACAGAAGCAGGAGAAGAGGCTTTGGTTGAGATTCGCCGGAGTTCGGGTCTGAGGATTGAAGACTTCAAACCTCCTGCACCTAACCGGTCTAAGATATTAGAGAAGTTTACTTAAGGAAAATCAAAAACAGAACCATCTATTTTGGGGATGGGTTCCCTTCTTCTTTTCTCTTTAAGTGTTTCGTCTAAACTAATCTGTTTAATAAGGGAGTTTATCTATTTCATTATATAGCAAAAACCTTTCAAAATGTTGCATTTCTTTTATTATATATAGTTAACCATTTCATCTATTAGCAAACAACATAACACAAGCTCTCTGTAAAGGTAATAATGACATAAAAAGAGATGATAGTACAGAGATGAACATTTGAGCATCTTAATGTGCTACTTAGGTTCTTTTCTATTACATAGTTACAACATAACATTGGCTTCACTGGTGAGTTTATTTGAATCAGATAGTGTCATAAGAACAACTCACGCCTAAACACAAACATCATTTGATCGTGATGTAGCGGTTTGTACCGTGCTTAGCCCAATGGTCTTTGAGATCAACCGGGTTTGAGAGGTCATGGTGCCCTTCTGCAGCAAGCCGGCTTAGAAGTTTGTTGAATGCGCTTCCACTCATCTTCCTACCACCAACTCGAGCATGTCTTTTGTTGGGCAGTGCTGGTAACGGATACATTGATATTGTGGTTGTGCAACAAGATGATTGCCAACCTCCGTTTCCCCATTTGTAGCACTGTCTGAGATCTCCAGTACACGAACATACAGGTGGTGGCATTGTTGTCTCGTCGTAAACAACCTGGTTAAGTCCCACCATTTCTTGGCTCTTCCAATCTGATTTGGATCCTATTAAGACATTCTTGCTTGTCTCTTCTTCCCCACCGTAGTCGAGATTGGTCTTTACAAATATTATCTTGGTTAAGTCCTCTTCGTTCTCTTTCTTGACCTTCCTTTGAGTCTTTGGGCCTCTCTTATTAGCAGTGGTCTTCGTTTTCGCGTTTGGGTCTTTCACTCTTTTACCGCGTTTTGGTTTGGCGGTTTCAGGAGGTGGTGATGTCGGGAGACCATCACTTGGCTCCATCTCTCTGGTCTCATCATATGCATTTTCAGTTAACTGAAGCATGTGATGTTGATGATGCACTTGTGGATGGTGAATGTGTTTTACACCACGTGGCATTTGACATCCCGGAGGGCATGCCGCCATATTTGCAACTGCAGAAGCACCAGGAGTAGACATGGAGTTCTCACGGTATTGTAGTGCTGAAAGGGCACTGTCTCTCTCCATTATGGCATTGTTGCGCTCGGCGATGGCTGTGTCTCGCTGGAGGAATGCCATGTCCCTTTCAGCTACAGCTGATTTTCTCTCAGATATCGCTAGGTTTCTCTCCTGGATAGCTGCATCACGCTCTGCTATTATTGACATGACTTGTTTCATCGATGGTTGGTGCTGCATCATCCACTGTTTCATAATATATATATTCATTACAAACTGAAAGCTGAGGTATTAAGCAGCTTGAGAAACAGTGTATTGTTAATCTAAGATGAATGCATTCCCATTAAATAATGTAGATTTTGGATAGGAAAACAGATTGGTCAAGATACCTGGCCCTGAGGTGCTTTATGTCGACCATTATCACGATGTCCACCATCATCCATTAGATATGATTTAAAGTTGTTATATCTTTTGCAATATAGCTTCAACAAAAGACTGAGCAAGCTAAAGGAAAATCAAACCAAAAGACTGATCCATCTTCTTATATTCCTGCACATAGCGAATCATTAAACATATAGTCAAAAGAACCAATTAATGCTGCCACAAAAAAAAAAAAAGCATTGCTAGTATTAGTGTACTTGAAACCTACAATATGATTTATCATCTATCAGCTCAATCCAAGCAACAAACACAAAAGAACTCCTAAACTCCCAGAATCAGTTACAGCTTATCCTAACAGAAACCAACATCATCATTATCATCAGCTTCAATCATTTTAGCTATAGGGAAGATGTCTGTCTATTGAAGCTATCACAGAAAAAGTAACCTTATAATCCTTTAAAGACAGCTTTTTAGTGATTTTCTTACAAAATCTCCAGAATTTCAGTGAAGACCATTATCTATCTTCCTAACCAACCAACCCAACCCCCCCTGACAGAAGAAACATGTAATAAAATAAACAGATGCGAAGTTGGAATCGGAGAGATAAACTAGTGAAGACAGAGTCGACAAGTAGCTCTAGCTAACTTGTAAATTCAGAAAGCTTGAGATTCTACAAATAGTAGTAGGCCAAAAACAAATCCATGGATCATCATTATTCTACAAATCCAAACAGAGAAAGGAAGAGACTTACCAGAGAACAACTTAGAGGTTGAAAGTAGGCATACGAAGTGAAGATACAAAGTACAAAGAACACATAGGAGATTCGGATTTGGGAAAAGAGTTGGGTGAGTTTAGGTCTTTAGTGCTCAAAGATACACGTTTCGCTCAGGAGAGAGAGAGAGAGAGAGAGAGAGAGAGAGATATAGTGCTTTGATTCTTCCGTCTTCTTCTCTCTCTCTTTTACTTTTTACGTTCTTCTTTCACATGGCAGTAATATGCTTTAAAGTAAGTTACTGTTAAGAAAAGGTCATATGAGAACCAATTATACTGAAACGAACCTCTTGTTTAGTAGCACTCTACACTTAATATCCACTATCCAAATCATGTTGGCTCCGAAAAATGGATACTCAGAGAATTTAGATCTAGAAAGTAATTTTACAGATTCACATAGTGAAATTTGAGGTCTAGATATCTGAATCTGAATCCAATGTATATTTTAAAATATTAAAAATATAATTATACGTATATATGTATATTATATAATTTTATCTAAAAAATTAAATTAAATAAATAAATAGTAAATTAGTTAGTTTTTATAATTTTTTAAAAAAATCTTTTAAAAGGGTAAATGACCTATTTTCACACTAGAAATATTATCTAGCAGCAGTTCCACACGAACTTCCAACATCGTCGTAATTACTCATATTAGAAGTTTAACATATTTCCCCCCAATTTGAAAGTTCGAAATCCAAACCCATATAGCTTTGGTTATTCATCTATTTAGTAGTTCGTAAGAAGTTAACCGAACCAAAAAATAGAAAATAACCCGACCAGAGATCCGACATGTTAAGCCACTTCGGATCATGTTTTTAAAATTTCCCAATGAAACGAATCCTAACAAACGACGAACCCAGAAACTCTCTCTTTTATCTGGTTAGAATCAAGATGAGCAATGAGAGTGAAGCTTTGACAGAGACATCATGTGTTCGAAGGAGAGGACGAGTGGTTGGTGTGCCGAAGATATGCTTGTGTGGCAAAATCGTGGTAGCAAGAATGTCGAAGTCTGATACTAATCCTTATTGGCGATATTACCGTTGTGCATATGCGGTGGAGTGAAAGGTAAGTGTGATGAATCTGAGCTTTGATGTTTACAGAATAGGTCGGATTAGTTAAATTACGGTTTAGTATCACAAAGCGGGTCATAAACATGTTGTCTTATGTTTAACTAGATTTTCTATTGGTTACACTTAAACTCAAAAACCAGTAAACCGATTTTAATGGGTTAATTGTAAATTCATTTGAGTTCGGGTTTTGAACTTTCAAATTGGGGAGAAATATGTTATTAATGGGTTGAAAGTTTGTGAGGAACTGATGCTATATGATACTTCTAGTGTGAAAATAGGTTGTATACCCTTTTTAAAGGATATCTGCAGGTATTCAGATTTTAGTACGGATAACTTAATCTCAAATATTTGAAAAAATCCAAATTCAAATCCGGATAGCAATTTCACAGATCCAATGGATCTAAATCTGAATATCCTAAAATACTAAAACACTCTGGATATCCAATATGTCCCCCACCCAAAAGTAGTAAGTAGTACTCCCTTTGTCTCTAAATAAATGTTATTCTACCATTTTTTTCTTGTTTCAAAATAAGTGTCAATTTATATTTCCAATGCAATTTTTTATACTTAATCAATAGATGCAATTAGTATCATTTTTATTTAAATAATTATATATTAAATGAAGGTATAATAGTATATTTGTTCACTTTTTAATCTACGTAAAATATGTGTTACTCTGTCTAAGTAACACTTATATTGAAGAGTAGTAAACTGAGGTAAAACTTACCACAAACAGATTAAGCAGTGACAATAATAAACGTGAAAACACATAACAAAATAAGGCTTTTATGTAAATGTGACAGCCCATACTTTATCGGCTTATTTCTTTATAAGGCCCATAAAAAGCAATGCCCTAATATATTTCGTATATATACAGCAGACAAATTTTTTTTATGTGAGTTCCTCTGCGTTTAGCTCTCTCTAGGGTATTCACATTTTCAGCCGCAGTGCTCTTCTTCGGTTCGGAAATGGTGATGATCTCTCCTCTTTACGCGTTAATGTTCTTCTTCATTCATGATATCTTAGTATTATTACAAAGATCTTACTTGCAATTATTTTTGTTATAACTCACTCTTTTTTTCTATTTTGTTGTTACACAGGCGAAGAGAACCAAGAAGGTCGGAATTGTCGGGAAATACGGTAAGCCTTTTCTCTCCCTTTGTGTTTCGTCTTGTTTTAGCTCGCCATGGTATTGATTAGGTTGTAGAACATTGTTATAATGTAATTAGATTCGTTGCTTAATGGATTGTAGTTACTCATTATTCACTAGGAGCATTCAAATCTCCTTCTATAATAATATTAGTTTAGTCTCGCGGGTTCATTTATTAACATATAAGGGATGATTGTGTGAATAAACAGGAACTCGTTATGGAGCGAGTATCAGGAAGCAGATCAAGAAGATGGAAGTCAGCCAACACAGCAAGTACTTCTGTGAGTTCTGTGGAAAGTACGGAGTGAAGCGAAAGGCTGTTGGTATTTGGGGATGCAAGGACTGTGGCAAGGTTAAAGCTGGTGGTGCTTACACCATGAACACCGCTAGTGCCGTCACCGTTAGAAGCACAATCAGGAGGTTGAGGGAGCAGATCGAGGGTTAAATCAAATCTTACTTTACTTTAATCATCTTTCATTTGGCTTCGGCATTTATGTTTCGGAATACTTTCTTGTTTTTGGTTCAAGACGTTATTACATTTAGCCGTGAAACAATGTTTTGTTCGAGTTTTGATTCACTTTCTGTTTCTCATCACTCCGGATTTTTCTTGATTACATCTTTGTTTTAAACATGTTAACTAATTCTTGACATCGAAGATTTTGCTCAACCTACAATTTAAGAATTATCACTGACTGTGATTAATCGTATGAACTTATACTAAACCTTATTCTATTTGTTAAACCAACAAACTAGAATCATAATGTCTAGGCTTAAACGTTGAACAAAAAAAAAATGACTAAGCTTAAACGTATGATCTGATACTACTAAATCCGTAATAAATTCAACAAACTAGAATTTGTCAAGGCGAGGCATGTGAACTAATCGAATTTGCTAAACAAACAAACAAGAATAATAATCATGTCTATGAACTAATCCCTCAACCGAATTGCTGAATAAAAAAAACTAAGCTTTGTGTATTATATGGAAGATCACTCAGACGCTTTCATCAAAATACTTTACTTCAGAGATTTATGTTAACCCTTGAATTGAACAATTTATGAGTTTTAAAATTGAAAAATAGGCTAAGAAGAACATAAAACACAAATACAACAGTGAAAACAAAAATCTAACTAACTGAGGAAAATCATTCTACAAGATTGTCGTCTTCTTGTCTCAACGAGCCATGCTGTTGAGATAAATTTTCTTGGGACGATCAGATTCTTTCAAGATTCCAAACTCCAACTTCATTTTAGCTCGCACCTTTCACCCAATGATTGATTCTCTGCCTCCACTCGAATTACAAACTATGGTTTCAATTGTTCACATCTGGTTCAAAAAAAAAACCGAGCCACCAGAGAATGCAGAGAGCACTAGTAGTAGTTTCATGGTTTATGCACCTTAAACCCAAAGATTCTCGGGACATACTTCTGAGTCGGTTTCTGCGGCTTCAAGTTTCCGTAAGTCATCAAAAACAAGTGAGGGAATGTTGTTCCAAAGTATGCCCCATCAATATCTGCACAAAAATCAGTTTAAGGCCAAACACTAAGACAATTATAACCACTAACATGTCTCTTTGCAGCATTTATGCAACTATTCAAGATTAGACTGATTCAATCAAAGCAAAGCAGAGCAGAGAAAAAGGATACTGCCTTGGAACTTAGACCGCGGGTAAGATATATCTTCGCATTTCGGGCAGTACATCTTCACTGTACTCGATCTCGGTATATCAGACTGTCCAACAGGTAGACAAGACTGTCCGCAACAGAAGACTCTAGGGCATCTCCCAAAATCACAGTTCTTGTACTTCTCAGTCTACACAGAGAAAAAGTGATTAACCAAAATGATAAAAACACTAAAGAAGAGTAAAAACAACTAACTAACCATAGCAGCCATTCCTTTAGTAGTCAAAATGTAACGAACGTGAATAAGACCATACAACATCTCAGCAGCTGATTCCACAAGTTCATTCTGTTCTTCAGTAAACATCTCACCTTAAACAAAGATAACAACAAAAAAACATTTCAGACACAAACTTTTTTTTTAAAGAACATAACAAACATCGACTTACTGTTTGAAGATTCGACATCAAGAATGAGATCAAGTGCATATTCATAGTAAGGAACTTGACCACTTAACCCACAAAGATTGAAATCATCTT